CAGCTTGAAGTGAACATGAGGCTTGCTTGCTTCAGTGACGGAGGACTCCAGCGTACCCCGCCTGCCACTGCCGGCCTCTGAGCTTGCAGTTTGAAACATTGTTACAAATATAGAAGCTAAACAAAACCCCAGAAACCTGCTTTCAGCCAGCCGGGATCTCAGAGCTGGAGTTGAAACAGTGTTTCGATTATAGAACCCAAACAAACCAGATACCTGCTTTCAGCAGCTGAGGCCTAAGAGCTGGAGCCAAGCCTCAGAGCTAAAGCTGGCCCAGAATAAAAAAAGAAAAAGAAAAAAAGGAGCGGTTGGGAGCTTCAGTCACCCGCCAGCCTGAAAACAGCCCTCAGCCCCTCACCCAGACTGGCCAGGCACCCCAGTGGGGACCCCCACCCTGAAGGGTGTGTGACCAGCTGCAAACAGCCATCATCCCCTCATCCACGCTGGCCAGGCACCCCAGTGGGGACCCCCACCCTGATCCAGGACACCCTTCAGGGCAAACCAGCCGACTCCCACCCATGAACCAGGCCTCCATCCTATATAGTACAAGGGTAATATGCCTCCCAGCACCGGGATCAGCGGAGCCGTGAGGCCTCCCGGCACTGGGATCAGCGTGACAGGGGGCAGCGCCCAAACCCCCTGATCGCCCTGCGGCTCTGTGTGTGACAGGGGGCAGGGCCACAACCTCCCTATCCGCTCTGCTCTGTTTGTGATGAGGGAAGGCACCCCAACCCCCTGATTAGCCCTGCTCTGTGCCTGATGGGGGGAACTCCCCAACCCCCTGATCGCCCTGCGGCTCTGTGTGTGACAGGGTGTGGTGCCCCAACCCCCTGATCGGCCCAGCTCTGTGTGTGACAGGTTGCGGCGCCCCAACCCCTCCCCCCCCCCACGGGCCCTGCTCTGTGTGTGACGGGGTAGAGCCATAACCTTCCCATCGGCCCTGCCCTGAGTGTGACAGGGTGCGCCACCCCAACCCCCTGATCCGCCCTGCTCTGTGTGTGACGGGGTGGTGCCCAACTCCCCTATCAGACCTACTCTGTGAGTGACGGGGGGAGCTCCTCAACCCCCTGATTGGCCCTGCTCTGTGCGTGACAGTGGGGAGCTCCCCAACCCCCTGATCGACCCTGCTCTGTGAGTGACAGGGTACAGAGCCCCAACCCCCCGATGAGCCCTGCTCTGTGAGTGACAGGGGGCAGCGCCCCAACCCCCTGATTGGCCCTGCTCTGTGCGTGACGGGGTGGCGCCGCAACCTCCCCATTGACCCTGCCTTGAGTGTGACAGGAGGCGGTGCCCCAACCCCCCAATCGGCCCTACCTTGAGTGTGATTGAGGGTGGCATCGCAACCTCCCGATCCGCCCTGCTCTGTGCATGACGGGGCAGCGCCCCAACTCCCCAATCAGCCCTGCTCTGAGCCCGACCAGGGGCTGCACCTAGGGATTGGGCCTGCCCTCTGCCACCTGGGTGCAGGCCTAAGCCAGCAGGTCGTTATCTCCCGAGGGGTCCCAGACTGTGAGAGGGCACAGGCTGGGCTGAGGGGCTCCTCCCCCCCCCCCCCCGAGTGCACAAATTTTTGTGCACCAGGCCTCTAGTCCTATATAATAAAAGCCTAATATGCTAAGTGTCCGGTTGTCCTGTTGGCCATTCAACCAATCAAAGCGTACTATGCTAATGATATGCTAAGGCCACTCAACTGCTCGCTATGACGTGCTCTGACCACCGGGGGCAGACAGTCGACCAGTCGCTATGACATGCACTGACCACCAGGGGGCAGATGCTCTGACTGGTAGGTTAGCTTGCTGCTGGGGTCCAGCTGATCAGGACTGAGCGAGACAGGCCATCCTGGAGCCCTCCTGCTGTCCCTCCCTGGCTGGCCAACCTCCCCCTGTCCCTCCCTGACCCTGATCGTGCATTGGTGGGGTCCCTTGGCCTGGCCTGCACCCTCTCGCAATCTGGGCTGGGGGACCCCCACCCCTCCGAGTGCATGAATTTCGTGCACCGGGCCTCTAGTACAGTGATGGGGAACCTATGACACGCATGTCACAGGTGACACGCGAACTCATTTTTTTGGTTGATTTTTCTTTGTTAAATGGCATTTAAATATATAAAATAAGTATCAAAAATATAAGTCTTTGTTTTACTATGGTTGCAAATATCAAAAAATTTCTATATGTGACAGGGCACCAGAGTTAAGTTAGGGTTTTTCAAAATGCTGACACGCCGAGCTCAAAAGGTTCACCATCACTGCTCTAGTATGTTATAAAGTCTGGGCAAATGGGCCTGTATTGATATTCTTTTATCTTGGCCTCTTGAGCACTGGTGCTTTTAAAAAATGAGACCAGCAGGAATCTCTGGTTAAGACTTATTCAGATTATGATCAATGCCTGAAGTGACAATGTATGAATACATTGAGTCCTAATTAATGACGACTTCTTGGTGGAATGCCTCTCTATAAAAATATGACAAATACAGCTCATAAAATTATTTGATAATGTCTTTTATTTTGAGAAATATGTTCCCATAATGCTTCCAAGAGAGCAGTAGCAAAATATTTTACTTTTGCTCCGTATGCAACAAATGAAAACAATTTTAATATCTTGGCTGTCACACAGGCTTATGCTTGGTTAGACTGTATTTTCAGTGTACAGTGGAACCTTGGTTCTTGAACTTAATTTGTTCCAGAAGGCTGTTTGAGAAACGATTTGTTCGAAAACCAAATCATTTTTTCCCATTAGAAATAATGTCAATTGAATTAATCCATTCCAGACCCTTAAATGGTTTTCTGTTTTTGCCAGGAGCCGGTCCATGCTTGCTGTTTCAAGGGACCTGGCATATATGGCATACTGTTCTTAATATGTTTGCTCCCCTTATCGCTGTGTGTTTTAACCAAGGTCACCTCTCCGAGAAAGGTTGTTTCCCCAGGTAGGAATTTTTCCCTGAAGTCAGGGAGGGGATGCCTCTCCTAGAAAGGTTGTTTCCCCAGGTAGGAATTTTTCCCTGAAGTCAGGGAGGGGATGAAACTCCTTAACTAAGTGCCAGGCGGGTAGTTAATCACTACAAACAATCATGCTTAAGCTACATAATCTTTACTCCCTGGAATGGAGATAAGAAACGCCCTAACCTTTGTAATAGAAATTGACAGGATTAAAATCAACTGGGATAAATACGGATGTAACAAGACAATAAACAGCAGAACCTCTCTGGAGATCCAGACCAGAACTTGGCTGGAGATCCTGGCTAGAGATCCTGGCTAGGCTGCTGATCAACTGAATGCTGCCTCCGTGTCATTCCTTCTTCGCCGACTCCGTCCACACCTTTGGGGACCCCTGGACCTGCTGGGGCTGGACCCCGGCATGTTTTAAACTTTCTAATGTACTGTTTAATCTATAGGCAAATACTTCTTTTCCTAAATTTATCGAACCACCCCCTACTAGCCTTGAATGAATCACTTTCAGCACTCATTCCAGGGGGGTAGCATCTTGCTTTTTCACATAGCATTGCCTCTGAAATTGTAACCAGCTAACTGCTTTACACTTCTCCAAATCAACAACAGTTTTTTCCACCTCTTCAGTAGCCTGTGATCACTGTTTTATGAGCACTTTCACACCCTTAGCAACTTCAGCACACTTGATGGCCTCTTTATGTTTTAAAATTGCGAAAAGTGTACATTTCACCAGCAACAAAATCAAACAAAACACACAAAACATTAAAATATTCACAGCACGCTTTCTTGATTTCCTGAGATGTTCACAAAGGAAATTTAGCAGTAAACTGACTCGAATTTTCTCCTTTGTGGCCTGAGAGATGTTTTTGTCATGCTGATGTGTCAGCATGAAAGGGTTGTCAGGTTGAGAACTGTTGAGAAGGTTGAGAAGTTCTGTTAGAAAACTGAGACCTTTTTTCCTATGAACAACTTGGTCAAGAACCAGATTGTTCCAGATGGGAAACATTTGAGAACCGCGGTTTGACTGTAGTATGTTTTGCAGTTCCTTAAATCAAAACCTTCTTTCTCCTGTTGTGTTTAAATGACTTTTAGTAAAAGAGATTTCTCTTCCTTAGGATTGCAGCTCTTGCTTCTTCACAGCATGACTAGGGCCAGATAGCTCCATGTGTGGTTGTTTGATGAGTTTGTTCATAGGTTCATTTGTTCAATATTTATTTGACAAGTATTTATAAAGTATATACTATGTGTCAGGCACTTTGTTACAACTCTGTTTTGGTGTGTGTTTTTTAAATCATTTCAGGACTGATGAGGAATATATTAATATCTCAAGATGGTGTTAAATTGGGATTATGTGTTTTCAAAAGGAAGCATCTGAATCATTGTATTGTTCCACTCTGAGGCAACCCTGGGGGGCCATGATCCCCATTCTTAAGCTTATAAGGATCATGATGCTTGCAAAGCTGTTTCAGGTGTTTTATGACAGTTCATAACTACTGCTTGCTGCCTGCCTGTCCTAATCCCCTAAGTGATGAAGAACTCTTTTGTAATCATCTAGTCACTGTTGAAGCACTTTTCAGTGTCACCACTTGTCACCCATTATACCAGATCCATATGCACTTAAAACCATGTAAACTACGTATGAGAGAATTGTTAATTGTGTGTTTTATCTGATGTTGTCATGGACTTAGCATGTGATCAATAAGCCACTTGTCTCTTAAAGCTGTTTTTGAAAAATTGTATTTAAAACTGTACCAAAATTGCTACTTTGGATGCTATATAAATTGACAGATTACCTCCTGTTACACAAATAAGGAAACTTACTACTCATTTCATGTGGAGAGGTACTACTGCCAGCCATTTTGCCATCAGCAAGTCTTCTGAATTGCTTCTAACAGTAGTGGCTTATGTTGTACCCTGGCACAAAGAGACACCGTACTGTGGGTCTCCTAGTAGGTCAGTGGCCGAAAAATAAATGAAACATTGGTATGTAGCTTCAATATAAGACAGCAAAGCTCAAAAGGTTACATTTTGCTTTCTCTTTGTCTCTCCCTCCTTTTTAAAGGAGTGGTGAATGTGTTGCTGACAACTCCACTCTGGGTGGTAAACACCAGACTAAAGCTGCAAGGGGCAAAATTTAGGAATGAAGACATTGTACCAACCAACTACAAAGGTATTATTGGTAAGTGTCTCTGTGTGAGTTTTTATTTAAAGGTTTTCTTTGTATTTGGAATTTATTGCCACAATGATCCTATATAATAAAAGGCTAATATGCAAATTGACCAAACAGCGGAATGACCGGTCGCTATGATGTGCACTGACCTCCGGGGGCAGACGCTCAACGCAGGAGCTGCCCTCTGATGGTCAGTACGCCCCCACAGGGGGCGCGCTGCTCAGCCGGAAGCCGGGCTCATGGCTAGCGAGCGCAGCGGCAGTGGCGGGAGCCTCTCCCACCTCTTCAGCAGCGCTTAGTTATCAGCCAGACATCCCTCGAGGGCTCCCGGACTGTGAGAGGGCGCAGGCCGGGCTGAGGGACACCCCCCACCCCCGAGTGCACTAATTTCGTGCGCCAGGCCTCTAGTGTTATATAAAAGACAACCTCAAATCTCAACATTCAATAGTAAGCATTTGTTTAGTTTAGCTCATGTGTCTTAGAATTGACAGGGATTTGACTCCTCTAGGCCAACCCCAGCCTGGGAGTTTCAGCTCCATGTGTCTCATCACCCTTCTGGCACCAGCTTGAGCATATTCTTCTCTTGGTAATGGTGATGCACAAGAGGACACACCCAGTTGTACAAGCATACTTTGAGTGCCTTTTTGAATCTTGACTGCTAACATCCTGTTGGCCAAAGCATATTACATGGCCAAGCTCAAAGACATGCGGTAGAGAAGTAACTACTGCCTTGGAGTGTGGGTGGGAGGGGTTGAATATATCTAAGGAATAATCTACTGTACTTTTTTTCCTAGTGTTAGCTTTAGATAAAGATACCAGGTTAATGTCTGCTCTCTATGAGCTTCTGCTTTCTAATAGTATCACACTGCCAGGCTCTCTTTTCCTGTGTTTGCAATGACAGTGATTTTCTTATAAGTCAGTCCTATAAAATGGACTCCAAGGAACTATGTTATCATTTGTTTTACTGGCCTTTGTTGTAAAACACATAGGCTATCAGTTCACGATTCTCTGTAATACAGAGTTTCCAGTGTTGGTGATTACTTAGGAACACTTGACATTCTGACTCCAGATTGTCAAAAGGAGTTCCCTGATTAAAGTTGTCTCTCAATAACTTAGTAATGTCAGGATCTGATAATTATCAAAAAGTAGTTAACTGATGAACTTGCCCCTAAAATATCATTACAAGAAGGAAATTTTATATATAGATTTGATTTCAGAGAGGAAGGGAGAGGGAGAGAGAGAGATAGAAACATCAGTGATGAGAGAGAATCATTGATCGGCTACCTCCTGCACACCCCACACTGGGGATTGAGCCCATACCCTGACTGGGAATTGAACCATGACCTCCTGATTCATAGGTCAACACTCAACCACTGAGCCATGCCAGCTGGGCAAGAAGGAAATCTTGATAGAACCATTTGAACAGAATTCGCCTTGTCTTCTCTAGTTATGGGATTGTCATCAGATGCCCTTGATTTCTTGCTTAGATGCTTTTCAACAGATCATTCGAGATGAAGGAATCTTGTCTTTATGGAATGGCACTTTTCCCTCCTTGCTGCTGGTTTTCAATCCTGCCATCCAGTTCATGTTCTATGAAGGTTTAAAACGGCAACTTTTAAAGAAAAGAATGAAGGTAATACTGATTTTGAAAGCAGCAAACAGTAATCTCCTGTTCTTGTTGTTTGGATTGACATGACTCGTCTTTCTTTGCTTTCCAGCTTTCTTCTTTGGATGTGTTCATCATTGGTGCAGTAGCCAAAGCAATTGCCACCACAGTTACCTATCCCATGCAGACAGTCCAGTCGATCCTGAGGGTGAGTGCTGGGGTTCTTCCTGCATTTAGTCAAACAGCATTCTAAAATATGTGGTTTCCCTGTTTAAAGCAAGTTAATCATTCCTCATACATTTTCCCATTTGCCTGATATTCTGCTAACCAGGCTGGCTATCACTTGGTGTCCTGTTTGATTTGGAACAAAGTTTACATTTGCAATTTCTTAAGTAACATAGTGTCTCAGAAAACCCAAATGTAGAGGAAGGTTCTTGACTCAGGAAAGTATAAGTTTGCATCCTTCTCATTCACGTTAACTTGCTTGGTGCCCAGGGCAAATTATCCTTTGCAAAATCAGAGGTTGATTCCTGTAGTTTATTTTAGAGGAATTAATGGTTTTGCTTTTTTTTTTTTTTTTTTTACTGCTCCAGTCAACAAAGGAGAAATGTTATTGAGGCCCCAGGGTCACAGTTCAGCCGGAAACCTGCCCTGTTGGCCCGAGGAAATGGTGGAGGGCCTTATTTAACTTCTTCTTGGGGCACAGGTTGTTGGTGTGGCCGCCCTTCTTCTTGCGGCCAGGGGTGCAGGCAGGTGTAATCTTGTTGCAGTTATACTTCTAGGCTAGCTGGCGGAGGGAGGGTTCGATGATGCCACCCCTCAAACAAAGCACCAAGTGCAGGGTAGACTCTGAATATTGTAGTCTAGGAGAGTGTGGCCGTTCTCCAGTTGTTTGCCTGCAGAAATCGGACCCTGTTGGTCAGGCAGGATGCCCTCCTTGTTTCGGATTTAGCTTTGACATTCTCAGTGGTGTCACTGGGCTCAACCTCAAGGGTGATGGTCTTGCCCAGCCGTGGGCAAACTACGGCCTGCGGGCCGGATCCCGCCCGTTTGAAATGAATAAAACTAAAAAAAAAAAAAGACCGTACCCTTTTATGTAATGATGTTTACTTTGAATTTATATTAGTTCACACAAACACTCCATCCATGCTTTTGTTCCGGCCCTCCGGTCCAGTTTAAGAACCCATTGTGGCCCTCGATTCAAAAAGTTTGCCCACCCCTGGTCTAGAGTTTACTCTCAATTCGTGGGAAGCCCTTGAAGGGTTTTACACTAGGGAGTAATGTGTTCTGATTTATAATTGTAGATCAGTGTGGCTATTCTGATGAGTTTGGTCAGAGACTAAGAGAAAAGGGGGCTGGGAATCAGGTGGGAGGCCATTTCAGCAGTACAGGTGAGAGGTGATGGTGGCCCAGATTAAAGTAGTAGCAGTGGAGAGGAGAGAGGAGATATGGAAGGAGTTATGATCTGGCCCGGCGGGCGTGGCTCAGTGGTTGAGCATTGACCTATGAACCAGGAGGTTACGGTTCGATTCCTGGTCAGGGTATATGCCCGGGTTGTGGGCTTGATCCCCAGTGTGGGATGTGCAGGAGGCAACCGGTCAATGATTCTCTCTCATCATTGATGTTTCTATCTCTCTCTTTCTCTCTGAAATGGAGAAAAAAAATTCAAAGACCTCATCGATGGATAAAATGGGGGAAGTAGTGAGAGTATGTCAGTTCAAAAAATGATAATCTCTTAAAAGTATTTTGACTAATGTACTATTTAAAACTTAGTACTTAATATAAAGGAATTCAGTAGCATCAAATAATGTATTTTGACACTTTATCATATAAACATAACGTGAAGAGCTTAAACTTTAGTGGTTCTAACTGGTTAGTATTTATCAGAACTTCTTAAAGGACTGGAAGTTAAGTCATACATACTATCAATATTTATATCTTCATCATGGGTGCGTATTTTTTCTTTTGAGGTAGAATTTTCCCCATAATTCTCTGTCAAGTGAAAATTCTCTTGTTGCTTCATTGAAACGTATTTCTTATTTTCACTTATTTCACTGAAACATAGAGTATTAATTAAATCTACATACTAATTGGACATTTTTATTACTGTATGGTGTGTAAGACATCACTCCCAACAGAATTTCCTCTGCAGGTACAAATTAATATAAAGAAAGCAGTACTACACAGTCTTTTTTTTTTCTCCTTCCCCAGTTTGGACGTCACAGACTCAACCCAGAAAACAGAACATTGCGGAGACTCCCCAATGTTCTCTATCTTCTTCACCAGCGAGTGAGGTGCGTTTTCAACAGCCCCCTCTGCTGGGGAGCGCTTGGGTTTGCTGACCTGGCACTCCTGCTTTGACGGTGGCAGCCTGGACGCCTCTCCCGTGGATTCTGTGCTCAGGCATTTCTCATTTTAGGGGTTTGGTGCAATGTGACAGTACTTTGGGAAATTAGGGAAAAGTTCAGGTCCTGGTACTTTTTTATAAATACACAGAGCTCCTGTATAATGGAAACCCTCCAAAATCTTATATAGAGGCCGTTGTGCTTGAGTGGCATATCCTGTGATCTCTCTCAGAGATAGAAATAAGCAGGAATTCTAGAGCAGTAGTCATAGTGAGGAAGGAAGCGGGGAGTAGGGAGAGTAATAATAATTATAATTATGACAGTGATGATGCTGTTAAGAGTAACTATCATTTTTGAGTGTTTGCTTTGTGGCAGACACTGATTTTAAAACTTTATGTGAGCAATATCACTTAATCTGAACAGTAGTCCTGTGAGGCATGTACTTTCGTCATTTCCTTGTTTTGTTTAAAGAAACTGATCATTAGGGACATCAAATAAGGCAGGAGCCTCCTTTGAAAGAGGAAGTGGGATTATAACTTGGCATTTGAAAAGCTATATTGGAAAGCAGCTTGGCATTTTCTTAAAAAGTTAGACACTGCCCATAGGACCCAGCCATTCCACTTCAAGGTATTGACCCGAGGGACAGGAAATGTGTCTGCACAAAAACTTGCACACAAATGTTAATAGCAGCTTTATTTGTAAGAGTCAAAAACTGGAAACAACTTAAATGTTCATCGTCAGGTGAATAGATACATAAATTGTGATCTCTCTGTATAATGGCATACTGAGAAATAAAAAAGTAGGAATTATTGATTCATGCAGCAACATGGATGAATCTCAGAATAATTATGCCGAGTGAAAGGAGTCAGACATGATTTCACTTATATAAATAACTTAGAAAATGCAAATCCGTAGTGACAGAAAGCAAATCAGTAGTTACCTGGGGCGGGGGTAGGAGGAGGGAGGGAATGATTACAAAGAGACCCAAGGACACTTTGGGGGTGATGAGATGTTCACTGTCTTGAATGTAGTAATGGTTTTGTGGGTATGTACATCAGTCAAAACTCATCGTAACTTCTGTCCGACTTGGCTACAAGTCTGAGGTTCCCATGCCTCCATCCTCCTGGGATTTGATTATTTGCTAGAGTGTCTCACAGATCTCAGGAAAACATTTATGTTACCAGTTTATTAAAGGATGTCATGATATCTGAACAGCCAGATGAAGAGCTGCACAGGGTGAGGTCTGGGAGGATCCCATCACAGGAGCATCTGTGCCCATGGAGTTGGAGTGCATCACCCTTCCGGGGCGTGGATGTGCTCACCCACCTGAGAGCTCTTTGAACCCCATACTGTTGGGTTTTATGAAGGCTTCATCCTGTGGGCACAATCTGTCCACTCTTTTTCTGGCTCTCTCCCCTCTCTGGAAGATGGAGATGGGGCTGGAAATTCCAAGCTTCTGATCATGGCTTAGCCCCCCCACCCCCCCTGCGCCATCCAGGAGCCCACCAAGAGTCATCTCATTACAATAGAAGACACTGCAATTATTCTGATATTTAGAGAGACTGTCAGGATCCGGGGTCAGAGACCAAATATTAGAACAAGAAATGATCCTGTTGCTCTTATCACTCAAGTAATCACAAGGGTTTTAGGAGCTCTCTGTGCCAGGAACCAGGAACAGAGACCAATATACATACTTTCTGTTATCTCACAGCAGACCTCACCTTGAGAAACACTGAAGTGGACTTTCTTAGGGGAACATAATTCACGTTAATTAATGAACTAGAAATTCATGAGTCAAGGCTTTTTATTGCTATTTATCACATGATTTGCCCCAAATAATAGGTTTTCACACACAGCAAATATAATAAAATACAGCATAGCTTGTGCATGGAGCACTTGATCAGCTGTACTATCTCAGTGCTCATGCTGTATACAGGCCTGGAGTTGCTGATGAACTAGCGTATGAGATCAGTTCACTCTCAACATGCAGCAGCTGTGGAGAAGTTATGATGAGTTTTGACTGATGTACGCTGAGCTTTTGGTTTTAGCTGAAGCAGTCTTCCCTGTGGTTAGAGCAGTGGTTCTAAATGGCTGGTCTCCACCTGGGAACTTATTAGAAATGCAGATTCTTGAGTCCCATCCCAAGCCTAATACATCGGAACTCTGGGGATGTGACCCAGCAATCAGTGGTTTAAGGTGATTCTGATGTACGCTAAATTTGAGAACCCCTGGGTTAGAAGACCAAATGTATAGGAAGACTGAAAATTAGGTAGCTTTCACTTTTGTCATTTTGCCTAGTTCTGTTGAAGCTAAAATGATCTAAACCAATTTGTAGTTTTCCTACCACTTAAGGACTGTTAAGTTAAAATAACTGAGTTGGGAGAGTGTCAAAGATCTAAAAGTTCTTAGATCTCAGATCTTGGCATTAAGATGGTTTTAGGATTTGCTTCCTATCTGGAATATTGTCAGCATTCTGCTAATTAATGGTGATTATAAAGACAAAGGATTGGTGGCTCATGAATACTGAACTTTAATTGGTCTTCAAGTGCCTTGACAGATAATAAATAGTTGGACAACAGAAGTCTGTTACTGTCTAAAACTTCCATTGCTTGTTTTAATTCTGAGGATCAACCTTTGCAAAGTCGCTATCAACGTAGTGACTGTTTCTTTGATGCAGGAGTTGACTTTTATAAAGAAAATCTTTTATTTTACTTTTCAAACTTCTTTTCTTTTAGGAGATTTGGAATAATAGGACTCTACAAAGGCCTTGAAGCCAAACTGCTGCAGACAGTCCTCACTGCTGCTCTCATGTTCCTTGTGTATGAGAAACTGGTGGCTGCTACCTTCACAGTTATGGGACTGAAGAGTGTATACAAGCACTGAGACACCTTACCCTGCAGAGTGAGGACAGGTGCTCAAGATGGGGGTTTCTTTCTGTGCGAAAAGAAGTGATTCTGTTTTTTACTCTTGCTCTTCCCACCGTGAATTTTTACCCTTGTTGGTTTTAAAAGTATTTAAGGGTAAATATAGAGGATAGCCAACTGAACCTGTCACCAACTTAATTTTTATGATGATTGGTTGAATTTTGTGGGGGAGGTTGGACTGGTGGTCATATGAAGAGAAAGCATTATTGAAAACCTAAACTTTAAAGTTTGTAGGATTGATTAGTTTTAATGAACTATTAAGAAAGAATGGACTATTGCTCTCATGTGTAATATTTTCTAGTTAAAATCTTTCTTAAATTTACCAACTGTTCTCTTTCCCTAACCTCTCCCCCAGGTTCTAGAACAAATTTTATGCCATGAAATTCTCCTCATATGCCTTTTATGTGTTAATCTTGTTATTTTCCTCACTGAAAATAATATTATGACTATGTCATGAGAGCATGATTTTATTTTTGTTGGATTTTTTCTGCTTAAGGAAAAGTGTCTTCTTTAGTACATGAGCTATTTATTTGGGGGGAGAAATTAAAATTATTAATCCCAAATGATTCTCTTATAAACTATTTGTAAACATCACTTATTCGTTAGTATTTGACATAATTTTAAAATATTTATTTTGAATCAACTCTTTGATTACGAAAGGCTTGAAGTTTTATGTTTATCCAAACATGCCTCAATCAAGTCAAGCCCCAATAAATTGTCAGCACCTTTATTAAGGTATTACATTGGATTGACAACTACCTGGTAAAAATCACAGAAAAGGGGGAGGGAGCAAATATCTTGTTTAGGCTCTGGAATATTATCTCCCTTTCCAAACTCTTGGAGGAGGCTGCATTTTTATTTTTTTATTTTTACAATAAACATCTGATTGAGATTATTTCTATTGGGAAATATTCCTTAGAGTCCTCTACTCAAAGTGTGGTGTGTCAAGCAGTAGCATTGAGAGCTGGTTGAACATGTAGGCCCAGATCTTCTGAATTATAGTCTGCATTTTAACAAGATCGATAGGTGATTCATACATTAAAGTTGCAGAGACCTTAGCACGCCTGACCCAACAGAGGATATGATTGGTTTCAATTATGGAAACCAAGACAAAGATTTTTCTCAAAGGAAAGATGGACTAATATATTAAAACAACCTCTGAAAAAACTGGGAGTCCTATGTCATTTACTTTTCCCTCATAGCACAGGTTAAGGTGGTAGGACTTGTAGTATGTAGCTAGGAGGGAATTAGACATCTCAAGCCCCTCAAGAAACAAACTCTTGACATTAGTAAACTAGTTTTTTGGGTTCCTATGACTTAATTTTTATCCCTATAACAAAATGACAGGCTTTTTATGTATAAATATAATTCACTCAGAGAGAATAATAATGAAGTATCTGTGGACTGGTATTTCATTTTGAGAGTAGAAATGTCTCTTATTTTTCCTCTGGCCACTTTGGGAATTTCAAAATATGTGATTATCAAACTAGTAATAATCTATATTATAAAAGGTCAGTGACTGTAATGCAGTAACGACCAAATGACCGGTCCAGGAGGTGCATTGATGGGTCTGGGTCTTGCGTGATTTCGCGCACTGGGCCTCTAGTTGAAAGATCATTGTGTTGTTCTAGAAAACAAGAACTGGGAGGAGCTACTAACTAGGGACTAAACTGAATACTCATCCTCTATTTAAAACAGAATGGTAGGCAGAATTGGCCCATTACTACTGTTTTTTTTTTTTTAATATATTTTATTGATTTTTTACAGAGAGGAAGGGAGAGAGATAGTCAGAAACACCGATGAGAGAGAAACATCGATCAGCCGCCCCCTGCACACCCTCACTGGGGACGCGCCCGCAACCCAGGCACATGCCCCTGACCGGAACCGAACCTGGGACCCCCCAGTCCGCAAGCCGACGCTCCATCCACCGAGCCAAACCGGTTTCGGCCCCATTACTACTTTTTATTTTACTTAAAGTTTCTGAGTATCTGTGGTGGGGCTTGGGTGGGAAGCACAGAATTGATTTTGATTTTTATGCAGGAGAAGAATGATCATAACGGGGCCATGTGTACTTTTGTTTTTGTTTTAATTATACAGTTCACTTTGGAACTTGAATTTTGAGCTCAGGGTATTGTGGAATGGTATATTTGCATAGTTTCCAAGTCAAATTTTATAGTTACTAGAGGCCTGGTGCACGACATTTGTGCACTCAACCCAGCCTGCGCCCTTTCACAGTCTGGGAGCCTCGGGGGATGTCTGACTGACGGCTTAGGCCCGCTCCCCGTCAGTCAGACATCCTTAGCACTGCCACGGAGGCAGGCTGCTGCGCTCGCCAGCCATCAGCCCAGCTTGTGGCTGAGGGGCACTCCCCCTGTAGAAGTGCACTGACCACCAGGGGGCAGTTCCTGCGTTCCTGCGTTCCTGCGTTGAGCATCTGCCCCCGGTGGTCAGTGCGCATCATAGCGACTGGTCGTTCCATCATTTGGTTGATTTGTATATTACCCTTTTATTATATAGGATGTTAAGTTTTTATGATGTGAGAATGTATTTGATGTTTTTTTTCTGATTTTGTGAGGGAACAACTTAATATTGAGGTTTTATGTTCCCTTACAGACTCACTAGTTGAAACTTAGGTAATGACTTGGCCAGATTAATAATCTTTGATTAATAAGGTATTTGAGAAAACTAGAGTTGGGAAATTGAAATTTTTCTTTTTGATTCTTTGTGCAGTTTCTCTAGAGTGTGAGCATTAAGAGCCTTAGAGATTATATAAGTGTCACTGCAGTAGAAAATTTAATTTCTGTAAGTATTTAATCTGGGTTTTGAATTGACATGAAAATTTCTACCCATGTCTATTTTACAGTTGTTTTAAACAGAAATAGGATTTACCATAAGAACATAAGCAGTGGGAGTTAGAATCTTGGGTTTTATTCCCAGCTCTTCCGCTGACTAGCAAATTACGTCATCTCTTTGTGCTTCAGCTTTTTGATAAGTGGAGATAATAATACTCACTACCCACTTCAGAGGATGTTTGAGAGCTAATAATGTCAGCTAAATCCCTTTATGATCATGGGAGAGGAAAGAGGGAAGATCCCTTTATGATCATGGGAGAGGGAAGATCTGAGTGAAACTTGTGACAGTGCCTAGATTTATAAAGCAATTTTCCTTCTTAAAGCTTATACACGTTCTCATTTTATGATCCCAATATCTCTGTGAAATAGGTAGGGACAAATAACAATATCCCCATTTAATTAACAAGGAAATTGAACTATCAAATGACTTGCCTGGTTGGAGCCAGAACCAGAGTGAGTATCCTGTAGTCTAAAGTAGTGATTAAAAGAATGGGTTCTAAAAAAAAAACAAACAAAGAAGAATGGGTTCTGGAATTAGTTCAACTCTGGTCCTGTTTCTTACCAGCTGTGGGAACGAAGTAATTACTGAACTTGTATAAAAATTCGTTTCCTCAACTGTGAAATAGAGATCTTGATAAAACTACCTCACAATGTGGTTGTGAGGATTAAATAAGATCATATAAATTGTTTAACACAGTGCTTGCCACATGAGAAGAGCTAGATAAATGTTAGCAATGTCTACTATTATACTAGAGGCCTGGTGCATGAAAATTCATGCACTTGCGGCAGGGGGAATCCCTCAGCCGGGCCTGCGCCCAGGATCCCTCAAGAGATGACCAACTTATGGCTTAGGCCTGTTCCCCAGAGGATCAGGCCTAAGCTGGCAGTCAGACATCCCTCTGGCAGCCCGGGAGCCCTCAGGGGATGTCTGACTAACAGCTTAGGCCCACTCCCCCTGAGCGGGCCTAAGCCGGTAGTCAAACATCCTTAGCGTTGACGTGAAGGCAGAAGAGGTCCCGCCACCACCACTGTGCTGGCCAGCCATGAGCCGGCTTCTGGCTGAGCAGCGCTCCCCCTATGGAAGCACACTGACCACCAGAGGGCAGCTCCTGCATTGAGCATCTGCCCCCTGGTGGTCAGTGTATGTCATAGCAACTGGTCGTTCCCAGTTCTGCCTAGGGTCAATTTGCATATTACCCTTTTATTATATAGGATGGGTGAGGGATATGGCTATGTGGATAGATATGGTTCAGTGAAAAGCACTCTGCATTTTGAACCAGATCTGGATTCAGATTTCCATTCTACCACTTAATAGTATCACAGCCACAGACTAGTCACTTCATGCACCAGTGAGGTCGCTCAGCCAGGCCTGCACCCTCTCGCAATCTGGGACCCCTCGGAGGATGTAGTAGTGCAAGAAGCAGCAGGCGACCAGGGAGGAGCCAAGCTTGGGTGTCTGAGTTGACGCCCTCATCTGCCCAATAGCAATGCTGTTATATATCACTCAGCCTTGTGAGGTAATCATTTCTGTTGGACAAATGAGGACATGTCTATATATACAAAAGCCTAAGTGACCGAACGACCGGTCACTATGACGTGCACTGACCACCAGGGGGCAGATACTCAACACAGGAGCTGCTCAGTTGACCTATGGGTGCCAGATTCTGTGGGGCTCATGATTAGCAAGTGCAGCTGCAGTGGCATGAGCCTCTCCTGCCTCCGCAGCAGCACCACTGGGCAGTGGCGGCAGGCACAGCGGGGCCAGGATGAGCAGGAGAGGCATGGCGCCCGGCCCAAGCTCAGCTCCTCCCTGGTCGCCTGCTGCTTCTTGCACTACTACATCCTCCGAGGGGTCCCAGATTGCGAGAGGGTGCAGGCCTGGCTGAGCGACCTCACTGGTGCACGAATCCATGCACCAGGCCTTGTATGTATGTGTGTGTGTGTGTGTGTGTGTGTGTATCTGGCTAAGTACATGACATATATGGGCTTAATAAATTCTGCTTTTCTTCATTAAGATATTGACATATAGCATTTTCAGGTGTACAACATGATTTGATATATGTGTATATTGAAATATGATCACCGCAATAAGTCTAGTTAGTATCTATTACTAAAATATCCATTGGATAGCCCTGGCCAGTGTGGCTCAGTTGATTGGGCATTGTCCCATGCACCAAAAGGTTGCTGGTTCAATTCCTGATCAGGGTACATGACACGTAGGGGGCCTGCAGGAGGCAGCTAATCAATATCATTCTGCTCTCACATTGATATTTCTCTTTCCCTCTCTCTTTCTCTCTAAAAATTAATAAAAATATTTGAAATATATATCCATCAGATAATATCGTTTGAATCAAGAAAATCAACTAGGTTTTTCTTTGGGGCAGCATTTTCTCTTTCCATTTGTTTTAATTGTGAACATTTCTGAAAGCCTTTTAATGTGTCTCCTCAAAAGAGAAGCCAGATCCAGTAATTTTATGTTTATTGAGTATTCAAAGTAAGTCCCCCAAATATTTACCAGTTAGCCAGTAAAATATGGCTGGTTCGACAAGAGAAAGTCACTGGCTAAGCTAGTGTCTCACCTTGTCTCTGGAAAAGCTAAAGAACCATGACTTGGTGGAGCCAAACACCAGGTATCTAAGGAGAGCCTTCCCTCTGGGCAGGTGAGTTACTTAACTGGCAGTGTTGATTGTCACCAGAGAACCAAATATACACAAAGACACATTCGTAGGATATTTATGTGTGTAGTAAACATAACATTGTGACTCTGCAAGGTTTTTACTACCATAGAAGTGCAAGAGCTTTGGGTTAGTGCTGATCTTTGTGGGGCATACTGGTAGCCCCTGAAAAGTATGTTCAGTGGAACATCATGGACAAGAAAAAAAGTTCTTCATGGCCCTGGCTGGGTAGCTTAGTTGGTTAGAGCATTGTTCTGATATGCCAAGGTTGTGGGTTTGATCCACCCCCCCCCCCTTTCTCTCTCTAAAAATCAATTAAAAGAGGAAAAGTTTTCTGTGACCTGGGTGAGAGAAGAAAGAAAAGTACT